AAGCATTGATATCTGTGAGAATGGATGGGTTCACAGTTAATCGTTTTACTTGTGCCGGTTATGAGAATGGATGGACAAATATTGTTATGATTAAGATTTAGCGACATGGGTGTTGAGCATAGATATCTGTGAGAATGGATGGGTTCACAGTTTATCGTTTTACTTCTGCCGGTTATGAGAATGGATGGGTTTGTAATCGGGCAAGTAAAGTGTTCTCCACTGTGTTCGCTTGTCAAATGTGTCCCGTTCGTAAGAATGGATGGATTTACTAATGGGACTCATTTGAAAATTGTAATGGATTAACAAAAAAAAAAACTGCGAAGTTATGTTTTACTTGCTCAATGGGAATTGATGGGTCCAAAGAGCAATATATTAAGTACATACCAAAAGCTATTGTTAAACTTATATTCTGAATGTACCATAAGATTATAGCAATGTCCGATTGTTTTGATTAAGCTAATTAGTAAGAAATAATAATATGTACCTAATGTAAGTTTTATCTTATTGTTTTAATACTGTGAAATTATCTCTAGGCCTCGTGCATCTGACCGAATGTTAGGTTTCTTTTCAACCGTGCATGAGGACATGCACGAAGTCAGGATGGACGAATGTTAGGTTTTCACTTAATTAATTTTCTAAGAGTATAGTTTCTGTTTAAGCAATTGACATTTTATTGGTAAATTAACTTAATTAGAATGGCACAACACTACAGTAAGAGAGGGGATGTGGTCAGTTGCACGAAGCAAAGGGCATAAAGTGGGAGACAGCCGTGGGAGACGGTTGGGTTAGTGACGAAACATAGATTAAGACCAAATAAATGTATAATATATAGAGTTTAAACTAAAGCCTCAGGACGAATAAAAGTGTAAGCAGTAATCGGAGAGTCTTTTATTATACAAAGCTAGTTAAAAGTAAAAAAAAGTCAAGAAAAAAAGTACGTACAAGAATTATAAAAAAAAGGTAATAAGAGGCCTAACAATCGAAAATAAAGAATGAGATGAAAAGTATGAATAAATGTATAAGAGCAGAGTATTTTAAAATATAAATGAATGTAATACTAATAAACTAGAACTTCGCGAATTACCTAATTATGTCAAATAAGTATGTTGTATGTATGCGATATATCATACCAATTCTAGTGTGACCTTGAAATTACTATGGGGTAGAGGGATCTGGCCATCCGAACTACCCATAGAATATACCTATATTTTATTTTTGTAATTTATATTTAGATCAAATAATATATAATTACATTGAATTTTTGTAATTTTTATTAATAATAAACATATTTTATATTTATTTTTATAAGTTTAAAAAAAAAACAAATGTATTCATTTATTTTTCATTTTCTTGTCGGTGGGAGGTGTAGTGTAGTATAGCCTCCACGACTATATATATATATGTTAGTGTTAAGGTAGAATAAGAACAGTCTAATTAAAGTTATAGAAGCATCAACACGCCTCTTTTTCATTTACTATTTCTAGTACCTATATCACACCTGCATCATCGCAATTCGGATGTCTTGTCAAATCCTGACGACTAACATTGTGCCTGTTTCCATTCAAAAGGATTTTCCGATAATTTTCTGCTTAGGAGTCCGTCTAGGTAGTTACCACACTTTTACCTACTTCTGCCGCCAGATGGCAGCGCTTGCACGGCTGTGTTCTGGTCTGATATGGAATAGAGTGTTAGATAATTACAGACTGTGAAGCATTTTATCGCATCTGAAGCCTTACGTGTTTGAAGCTGGGCTGCAGCTGCAGGTGTGCACGGACTGCAGTAGCCACTTATCATCAGGTGGACTTTAAGACGCTAGACGCTACAGTAAAATACACTTTTATCAAAAATATATAACTTTACATTTCTAGGCTCAGCTCTGAGATCTTTCATAGCATCATGAGTTTATCAGAGATATTTCATCAATGCAACTATCATACAGATGGCGCCCCCTCACAGAACTCCTATATGATCCTCATCAACTTTGCAGCAAAATTGAGCACCAACGTATCATAGCAGCACTCTACTAAGACATCACAGTAACTGTACGAGTATATATCCATTTATGATAGGCCTATTGCACTAAGACCTGGAGTTAACTATGGTCGTTAACTTCAAATTAAAGACCGTTTCACTGCTCCTATGTGTATCAATCAAAGATATCGAAAAATTATTAAATAAAAGATTACCAGACTAGGTACTTACATCATCATCATCATCATTACAGCCTTTCATAAGTCCACTGCTGAACATAGGCCTCCCCCAAGGAATGCCACAAAGCACGGTCCTGAGCCACCTGCATCCAACGACTTCCTGCATGTCTTACCAGGTCGTCACTCCATCTAGTGGGGGTCGCCCTACACTTCACCTAGCGGTACGAGGCTGCCACTCGGGAACCATCCTTTCCCATCGGTTGTCGGTTCTTCGAGCTAATTGGCCGGCCCACTACCACTTCAGCTTACTAATCCGTTGGCATATGTCGGTCACTCTGGTTCTACTGCGGATATCCTCATTTCTAAGTTTATCACGCAGAGAAACTCCGGGCATAGCCCTCTCCATAGCTCGCTGAGCGACCTGGAGCTTCCTCATCCGGCCAGCAGTGAAGGACCACGTCTCAGTTCCGTATGTCATCACTGGCGACACGCACTGGGTGTACAGTCTCGTTTTCAAGTTTTGAGGTATACCTGACGAGAAGATGTGCCGTAATTTCCCGAACGCTGCCCAACCGAGTTGAATCCGTCGATTGACCTCTCGGTCGAAGTTGGACTTACCTAGTCGGACTATTTGTCCCAGGTAAACATACTCTTCAACAACTTCGAGCTTAGTGTTCCCAACAACTACCGGCATAGGTGTGACATGGATATTAAATATGATCTTTGTTTTGTCCATGTTCATCTTAAGACCTATCCGTTGGGAAACACTATTGAGGCCATTGAGCATAGTGCTTAGGTCCTACAGCGATTCTGCCATTAGGACTATATCGTCGGCAAATCGAAGGTGAGTGACGTACTCGCCATTGATGTTGATACCGTATCCTTTTCAGTCCAGAAGCTTGAAAACATCTTCCAATGCAGCGGTAAAGAGTTTCGGGGATATGACGTCACCCTGTCTTACACCTCTCTGCAATTGGATAGGTTTCGTACTCTGGTTCTGTACTCGGATACCCATCGTAGCCCTACTATATAAGCATTTCAACACTTCGATATACCGACAGTCAACTTGGCACCGCTGAAGGGACTGCAGCACTGCCCTAATTTTTTGTAATGTTTTGTGACGGCATTGATGTCGAGATCCAGAAATCAACCGTGCGAAACCATCTATCTTAAAACCATCTATATTGTATGGAATTCTACGGATTTTTCTTACTCGCTCTAGGGATTTTTAAAAATTAGATCTAGCAGCAATGTATTCCAGTGACTAGTGATGTGGTTCGAGTTGTAAAAATGAACTCGTCGTCGAGCTCGAGTGATTAAATGATTAGAGTGGTCACTCGGCTACTGGATTATTATAATATTATGGGTGACAAACATGCACACAGACCTGATTATCCATCTATCCTCGATTAAAAATCAAAGTACAGATGCCTTGTCACCCTGTGGCCTGATTTTAATACATAATACAGTTGCAGCACGTTTTAGCTTTACGTGGTAGAGCCATGCTGCAACTATATTAGTCGTATAGTTGTAGCACGAATGGGTCGGCTCGACCGGGGAAGGTCCACACTCTCACAGAATACCAGCATTAAATAGCAGCTTAAGCAGCAGTGTTTCGTATGGTGAGTGTAGAGAACCAGATACCCTTTTTACTGGAAAAGAGGCATTCCATCTTAGTCCTCACGGGTGATAACGCATCTGCATTTTGATTCGCAAACGAGGATAGATGTAGATGTCTATGGGCCACAGCAACCACTTACCATCAGGTGGACTGTGTGCTCGTTTGTCATCCTATCCTATAAAAAAAGCGTGTAACAATTCACAAACTGACTGAACCACCTTTTCCCAGAAGAGGGTCGCTTCCGATTCAGCAGAAAGGCCTAATAAACCAATGCCAGTCCCACAGGTGGTGTTTAGTGGGTACACTTAGGGTGGTTAGGTTAGGTTAGTCAGAGTGAGTCCCACATAACCACGACAGCTGGCTGTCGTGGTATGCATAAAGCATTCACCACCTCCTCGCGTTAACGGGGTAGCCCTTTTCATTTGCTTCTGGGCGCAAAAAAAACCATTCACAAATAAGTTAAGGCTAAACTTAGTAAAACTTTAGGCTACATTAATCAGTGGCTTATTACACAACAGTTTTCTAACTTCAATATTTGAGAACAACACAACAAAGGAAAACCAACACACTCTACCCAACTCGCTACGCGAGCGCAATACCTAAGTAAGAGCGCCTGTTTATTTACGTTCCGTTCTCAGGAACTCGATTAAGAGCCGAGTGCAAGTACTTTGAGCCCAGTTACATTCGAGTTGATAATAATATTTTATTCTCTCGAGTACGAGATTTTTGACGTGACAACGTCTTATAATTCGATGAAGCTGGCTGCACGCACGAAAAAACATGACTCATGCGGCGTTACCTCGTTCTTCTGAGGCGTTCCATTTAAGGCTTGAAGTGCAAGCGAGAGCGCGGAACGAGCGACAGGCACAATCGGCCTCTGCGTTCGGCAGCGTTCGACATCTGTCTCTCTCCTACTTGAGTGAGCGATGCGTCCGCATGGACAGCTGCTATACAATAATACATTTATATGTTTTCGTCAAGTATAAAGTGCAGTGAAAAGTGAATGTGGTGTCAATTGTTTATAGCAACATTTTCTTATGACGTTGTCATGTTCAACTATCGTCAGTAAACCGACTTTACAGACAACCGATTTTTTATATCACTCGAGCCACTAGTGTCCAGTGTGTCACCTGTCACTGTCACAATCAACAATCAAGCAATTTTCATATTCACAAATCACAAATTCACAAACAAAATAAGTTCTAAGTTTGTGGCTGTCAGTCGCAGAAATGGCTGACTTGTTAGCTGTTCCTTTAAAGAAATCTACAGACGTAGATATAGTGAAACCATTGAAGAATTTGATTCAATCTACATACAACACCGGAGAAAACAATGAAGATTATAGCGATGCTATCGAAGAACTTGCACGCCTGAGAGCCAATGCTATTTGGAAGGTTTTTGAAAAGTCTTCACTAGAAATTATTTACAGGTACATTAGTGTAGAATGAGTCACCCGTATCATTGAATCATTGAAGTAAATGTGCAATTAAGAGTATTTCTTCGGCTCAGTATTGTAACATTTAATAAAAAAACAATTTTGCAAAGAAAATATACCCGCATTTCCCCCGTTTTGATCTCAAAACCTGTGAGGCGGTCACACTAGCATATAAATTATAATGTAAACCATTTTCCGCAGTTACTATGACCAACTTACATCCCTGGAAACCAAGATCCCACCGCAAGAAGTGCAGATTCCATTTAAGTGGAAGGATGCTTTTGATAAGGGGTCTATTTTTGGAGGTCGGATGAGCCTAAGTAAGTATATTTTCATGTGTGTCTTGATTAGTATAAGGTATTATTATTTTTTTAGTATTTCCAAATGCCGCTACTTTTATAATGGTCACTAATTGAAGTTTCCAAGAACTTGTCCAGAGCTCAATTTGTAACAAGATTAAGTTTAAAAAAATTGGATTTTACAATCCCAATTACATTCTTTGACATTTATATTTGTTTAATTGTGGATCCAATTTTTAATTTGTCACAGAAGTCTTTGTTCTCTCTAGTAGGATGTTGTATCTGGTTGAGGCTGTAGTCATTTCCATTTACTCCAGGAGGCTTATAAAATTTATATTATTGGCTGCATCTCATGCTGAATTAAAAACTTTTAAGCATTATTCAGACTTTAATCACATAATTAAGGAGTAATAAATATAACTTCCCCATAATTATGACAAAAGCCCGCTGCTTTAGATGATATTAGTGGTAGGAGAGGTTTTGAACCCCCAAGTGTAAAAAGCTTGTGTTACAAGCTTATAATGTTATAAGGGAGACTCAACATGATATTGTATAGAAATGGGGCACTAGCAAACCATCTAAGAAGTCCCTTGAGCTGGCTATATTTTATTGTTGTATAAATTTCAATCGCTTCATACTAAATGTTCTGTCACTCTTTTATTATTAAAATAAGGGTGACAATCAAGCACACACACCATGTGATGGTAAGTAGATACAGCATCTACTTTCCATTACATAAAAGTGCTGTGGGCCCATAGACACTATGGCTACTATAGTCTGTTCAGTTGCCTGTATGCTGACATATCTGCTAGAGACTGCAGCTTCATTGCCCGTCTTACAGCTATGAGATTAAAAGTGTGATTGGAGAGTTTTTGTATTCTGCAACGGGTCTTGCAGAACTTAGCTCCGGACAGGTTCCAGTGGACAGTTTCCACAAGCTTATCATTCATATTGTCAACCGTATAGCAGTCTTGTAGGCACTGAAAACAATTTTGTTACTTGAGCTGAAAGTTTCCAGAGGGCAAAGTTTTTTTGGTTCAGTTGCCCAGTCTGAATTTCCCTACCTTTAGTGTGTTTCACTTACTTACTTATCTTCACGCACAATCCCTGACGGGGTAGCCAGAGAGAACAGATCGCCAAGTGTCACGATCCTTACATACCTCTTTCGCTTCTTTCAGATTCATTATCTTCTTCATGCATGCACGTCTAAGTATCCGAGTACTTTTGACCCTACCCTCTTCGAGCAATTTGCTCACATGGTCTTCGAAAGTTAGTCTCGGTCTACCTCGACACCTTTTAATATTAACTTTCGCGCTATATATTTTCTTCACCATTCGGTCTTCACTCATTCGCTCAACGTGCCCAAACCACCGAAGCACGCCCTTATCAATTTTTGTGATAAGGTCATCTTTCAAACCTGCCATATTGCGAATCTCTTTGTTTCGATTTCGGTCGGCCATGGTAACGCCGCACATTTTACGAAGAGATCGCATCTCCACTGCATTCAACTTACTTTTATGCTTCTTCTGGCATACTCATATATATATGGATATTTGCTTACTCTGTTCCCTTGATTTTCCATCTTTGTTTTCTTTTACTATAATTAGATATTTGCTTACTCTGTTCCCTTGATTTTCCATCTTTGTTTTATTTTACTATTTAAAATACATAGTAAAATGAATACTCGTAACGCCAAAACGCGCCAGATGGAGAACCAACTCCATCTTGCGCTCCAAGAACTGAGAGCGTCCAGGGAGCAGTGTGAGCTGTTACTTAAAGAAAGGGATGACAACGAAAAGGAAATAATAAGTATAATTTCGAAAAATACTCAATTGAAAAGTGATATGGTTAAGTTACATAGAGACTATACAGATATTTTAAAGGAAAGGGATCAGCTCCAGAGGACAGTCGATGAGTTTGACCGATGCAGCAAAGAATATGAGGAATCCCTCAGATTAATTGCTGCATTGAAATTACAATACAATACAATACAATAACTTTATTTCAGGCATCAAGGACTTAAAAATTAAGAACATTGGCCCATAGCAATATATACCTTAACCTAAAAATATATATAAAATATTGACATAACTTAACACTATTTAGGGAACTTTTTTCTTTGGCGCGTCCCTGTATCGGCGAAACACTACCCCAGAGGGCCAGAAATCGGGAGCGAGGAATGTCTCTTTATGTTTTGCAGGAACCTGGAGTACGTAGGATTTGAAGTTCGTTGACCTATTAGACTCCAGACGCTGCAAATGTAAAGAGATCGGATCCTCAATGCGGCATCGGCTTCGTTCTTCCACGAAGCGCAGGACGTCTTCTTCCGACGTTCTTCTGTCCAAACGGGAGATGTAGAGTTGTATGGTTGGCTCCACAGCACGCAGAGTTGTACTCGCGTTTATTTTCGCGGTCCCACGCTGGTTACAGACGGGTCGCGACCGACGTCTCTTCTCAACAAGAGTAAACCCGTCCTTATCAATCTTGTCTTGGGTCACCACTGGAACTGATTTTATTTCCACATTCTTCCGCTTTGGACCACAAGAGGGTGCCGGTTGTAAAGATTTACGGGCAACATCCGCAAACGTCTTCCCTTGTTTTGAGGTTGGCTTCGGCGGAGGAGTACCAATGGGTTCAGTCAAGGGTTGAGGTGGTGATGCAATGACGACCGAGGTCGCCCTAGTTTCTCGGTCATCAACCCGCTGACAGACGGTATCGCGTGACGGAGTCGCAATCATCGGTGAAATATGACTACTATTACGGTTACCGCGTGTCGTATTCACATTCTGCGACGACGGTGAATTTGCAGATGTTGCAATTATGTTGCGCAACATATTGACTTCGTTCCTCAGCTCTGTTGCGGCTCGTTCTGATTTCTCAAATTTGGAACGGATGTCGGTAATATCGGCTCTCAACGTGGTGATGTCTTTCAACAATCTGGTGACGTCTACGTGATCGAACGTCACGGGAGGCAGCTTGTTGAGATCACGCGCGACGAAAGTTGGGATGTCATCAGGGTCGGTCTCATTGAACAGCCTGAAGATGTCTTGCAGGTCTTTCTTACCGCGTCCATCCCTGTGACGTGTGATAAGACGGATTTGGGTCACGGCTGAATCTGCTAACACCTTATTACAATTAACTGAAGCTAATGAGCAAATTTCACAATTTAAACAAAACATTGATAACTTGCATGCACTTAAAACTCAGAGTCTGTTCGAGGAGTTCGTAGAATGTAAATTTCATAAAACGTTGCAACCCTCCACAACAATAGATTTGACTGATGATTCTACCACATCAAGAACAGCAGAAAGGATTACAAGCAGCAGAAGGAAATTAAAAAAATATAGAAAAGCAAGAGTTAATTAGTAAAATTAAATTATATTCAATTGAGGTGGAAAACATGAAAAATTGTTATGAGACTGAAATAGAGTGTCTTAATTCAGAAATTTTATCACTTCAAACCTCATTACAAATGATGTCAAATAAATATAAATCTGCAGGGAATGAGATAAAAGAACACATACTGGCCATGGATAATCTGGTAAAGTCCTGCAAATATAACGAGGAACGTTTTGACTCCTTATTAAAATATCAAAATGAATATCAGCGCTCACTGCCAGGTTCTTTAGGGACAGTGTGTGTTAATAATATGACAAGCAGTAATACTTCATTTTCTTTACCTACACTCTATGATAGTACCATAACAAAGCAAATAAATTTAAAAAGTAATCTATATAATGAAAAAAATAATATAATTGTGTATAGTGATGACATAGGCAAAAACTTGGGTATATCATTGAATAACTGTTTAAAAAGGCAACAGATAAGTAATTACTGCATGCCTGGAGCATCATTCAGTGATATCTATACATATAATAAAACTGTAAATAGCAGATGTCTGTACATTTTATATTTTTGTAATAAAAGTGATTGAGGGGTACTAAAAATAAGTAATTAAATCTATACATATAATAAAACTGTAAATAGCAGATGTCTGTACATTTTATATTTTTGTAATAAAAGTGATTGAGGGGTACTAAAAATAAGTAATTAAATACATTTCTACCATTTTTAGAATTTTCTGTCTGTCTGTCTGTCTGTCTGTTTGTTTGTTAACGTATCACGTTTAAAATACTAATTTATATCATAAGAATTGTTAAGGAAATTCTAAAGTGTACCTTCGGGTTACATTTAGTCTTTAATTCATTAAAATCGGTTCATTCCATCAAAAGTTATGATAAATATTCTGAAGTATGGGTAGGGAATTTGCTCAACGGTGGCTTTGTTTGAGTCATCAAGTTGATGTTAGCAGCGCCATCTCTCTTTAATTAAATATATACATATAATAAAAATGATGATAACATGTTGTGTCTCTTTCTGTACATTGTATATATATTTTGGTGACTAAAATCACTATGGGGAACTAAAAATAATTAAATAAGTACATTTTTATAATTTTTAGAATTGTCTGTCTGTCTGTTTGTCTGTTTTTATATGAATGCATCACGTCTAAAGTAAACATCTTTTTTTTTCAAAGAAATCGTTAAGAAAACCATAAAGCGTATCTTCAAGTTACATTTAATTATGAATAAAATTTTAACTAGTAAATTTAACTCTAATAGTATATTAATAATTTTTGTTGGGAGAAGAGGCAATATGAACAAGAATCAATTATTAAAATATATTGAATATCTCAATAACATAAATGTGGTTAAAGTTATCTTGTTTACATTGCCTTACATAGAGGGGTGGCCGCAGGAAAATAAACTAAGACATAATTTAAATTTAATGATGCATAACTTGACATGTAACAATAACTTAAATTTGACATTTAATTGTAAGAATAATAATGATAAATTTCATTTAATTGATATTAATAATGTAACTAAGAAGTTTTTGACAAGAGATAGGTTGTTCGCGCAAAATTCTGTTGTCGGAATCGACACCAGATGTCACTCGGCTCGGCGCGATTCCGGTCTGAAGTTCTTCCGATCGTGGCAGTGGCGCGCGGGTCGCAGCAG